TTTCTTTGAAATTTAGACTGTTAAGTAATTTATCTGGTAATTACTAATTACATTCTGAAATTGCACATTTTTAAGGCATCGTTTATACTGTGCGATTAAAAATGAGTTGCTGTCGAGTTACCTTTGGAATTTTTGTTTCCATGGGAAATCGTACTTAACTTGACCTTCCAAAGGCGACTCGACAGCAACTCATTTTTGATCGCCCGTTATTTCTTATTTTGAAGTTAGGTACCTCTAAATAAGCACCCCTAATTTCTGGTCATTTGCAATATATAAAGCACAGTTATAATGAAAACTAGACACACCAAGTAGGTATAAAAGGTAAACGGCTCTATTAAAGTTCGATAAGTTGAGCATACGTTATGTAAGATGTCTACTTTCGCCATTTATTTGTTTAATTTGTATTTTAATTGATTGCGTATTATGCATCTAAGCAGTAAATCACGTTTATCTCATCCCTTTCTAAGAGAACAGAACGGTATCGTAATTATTACATTTTCTTGTTCATAAATATTTATATCCGTATAATTTGTGTATAATTGCATGAAATTGTTATTTTATATTAATATGTAGGCTAACTTTAACACAATTTTATCGTTAATGGGCACTGTGCGGTGTATTATTGTAGGTATACAGTTCTTGCCATGTACAAATCGGATGCGCCCTGTATAAAGCCTTGTGGTATGGAATTGCTTCGACACTCATACATTGACAATATGTATACTTCTTGTGACCATTCATCCAAATCCTACCTCTCGAAGCAAGCAATAAACAAACCACATCGATGACATAAAATCCGTTTTGCAGACTCTTCCCAATCATCTCAACAATTTTGTAACCATTTCGGTAAATTCTATTTTAGCGCAGGTAATCTTTGAACCGTATACGCCGTATGTTAAGCCCCGAGGCGTGGGACTTGTTCGCCACATGTTAAAAAATGTAATCCCAGATTGACTCTTTTGTTGCATTTTTTTGTGCAGGCGTGTAAACGCAATTTTTTATTTAATTCGAAGTTTTAGTGCGAAGGAGGCTTTGATTTCCTTTTTTTATAATTAAATTTCATACTATATACAATAGAATTCATCCGCTTTCACTTTCGTTAGCGTAATGAACTAAATGTGTAATTGCATTTCGTCATAAAAATCAAGTGTTGCAATAATGGCAACTTTACAGTGGTATAATTGAAAGAAACTTGAAATAATGTAAGGAATCTGAATAGATTGGGCAGTTTTAATCGATTTACTATTTACATTGCAAATGAAAATACTGCAATCTATCAATGCGTTACGGGAACCACATTGTGTATCCATTTTAATTGGCATTACAGTTACGTGCTGTACTTAACAATTGAAACGATAACAGTTAATTTTTGTACGATTAAAGCAATTAATGGAACTAAATAATTACTTTGAGATCCTATTGACTATTGACATGTTATGTGTCCAATGTAATGTTTACTTATATAATTCATTTTTGTTGAGTCGATGCCGACCCAATGAAAGAAAGTGATCCGAAGATCTCTCGGGAGATGTTTATTAGTACTGGAAGGATAATTTTATTATTGTATACTTGTTCCTAATCGCCATAATGAATTAATATTGTACCTACAAGGTGGAAACGTGGTCTGGCATTCAGTCATGTCTGTAACGCGGTACGGTGATAATCATTACGTTCAGTGCTACCGTCACGGCGCGAAGTTTTTATACCTATCATGAATACAAACAGAGGTGTAGCCGTGTTTGAAGTTAAATACATTGATTTGAAAAATCCACCTAATCGTCATGTTTCAATGGCAATAATTAACGTTTAATACAGTGTCCATGATGTAGTGATTACAGCGGAACTCAAGGCTGTCTTGATTGTTGAAATTTTATACTGGAACCGGTAATTAGTATACGCTTTTTTTGTATCAGTTTGCCAAGGTCTTCTCCAATTTCATTACACCTTCCTATTAATTAGATACTATACTCTTTTTGTGTTGAACATTTGAATACCGGGATGAAGTAGGCGCACTTAAATGGTACCAAAATGGAAGACGAACTTTGTGTACTTATTAAAGCAGTTATTATTCACCGTTAACCATTTTTATTCACTATTGTCACGGTTGGTACATACAACGGATGTTCCCCTCCCTGTTGAGGTCCAGTATAGTTTAAATACTCTCATCAGGGTAAATTACCTACTTATCCACCCATACGTCCCTACTAAATTACAAACTGAAATCACATCTCGAATACCAGTTTATATTAATTAACGCCAATTACTTAAACCAATTAACGAATTTCATAATTATTATTTATTATGTATTCATAACAGCAAATATAATTGAATTTAGATCCTCTCCATTATGCGGAGTGCGGAGATCCGATACAATAGCCTTAGCAAATAGTCTTTTGTGAACAAATTGGGTAATTTTCCCAATCCTTTTTAAAAGCGAGATAAAATATGTAGGTACTTCGAAATATAGGTTCTCCCTCGGGTTCTCCAGCGCATTTTTTCTTAAAATTTTCTTGCACAGAATGTCTCAATTCGGAAGTATATAGGTAAATTGGGATTTGATTTGTTAAATAATAACAATATATTTTCTTGTTTTTGCGCATACAGTTAACATTATTTGCTATAATTAAATAAACCTCGAAATAAACATACCTATTAACTTAATAGACAATTTAAAATTAAAAATCACTTCAAAAGCCTTCACTTTACAAATTCGTGTCTGGAAAATACGCTTTTATTAAAGTTAGATATTTTGTAAGGGAGAGGAGAGCTTTAATTTTTTTATCTCAGACGTTTGAATACTCTTTGAAAGCAGGTTAAAGAATTTTTGTGATTGAATCTGGTAATTATTTTGCGAGGTAGTCTAGGCCGCCCTAATATTTTAGTTCCCCTGTATCTGCCTGAGATTATTAAAATGAACTTTATTGACTCTGGTGTACAGGGTATATGCTTGACCGGGTTAGTATTTGCAATTTTCTAAAGGAGTTCCATTGTTTCTTGGCAAAGATCATACTACATGATCTTTGTTCTTGGTAACCTACTGAGTCAACGATATGTACCGCTCCTCTGTGCGACGTCTTTCCCTGTGGCGCAATTACCCCATATTAATATGCCGTAATATACAGGGTGAAAATTTTGTCTGGAGCACTGAATATACCTTCAACACACCATTTTTTAAAAAGATGATTTTTGTGGTATCCCAAATTTTTTATCAATCTACGTATTTGAAATTTGTGATCAGTGACTTACTTATGCATGGTGATAGGGGGCATTATTGGAAATAGGAACGAAGTCGATTTTTACCATTCTTCCTTTATTAGCATTTTACACTATTTCTTACAAAACCGGAGGTCGGGTGTTCGAACCTGGGCTGAGGTAGGAGATTTGTTATCTGTGTCAGAGATGGGAATCTCCTTAAATCAGTTTCGAGCCTTCTGCAGACTACTTCGAATTAGGTTTTCCTGCAGTTTTCCTAATTCGTAAGGTAAATACCGTAGTAGTATAGAACAACTTAAGACCTTCTGCAGAGACACCTCATATAAGCATTATGCGGATCACTCTGTAATTGGGCGTAAGCCTGTTGAGGACCCAGAACAAGAATAAATTAAGTGGACTGCGAGGTGGACTGAATTCGCGCTGACTGAATTAACTTAAGTCTAGAAAAATGAACATATAAAGCAAGGCGGTTACGGAGTCTTTTTATCAAAAGGGCGAAAACTGTTGTTCGCTCTCTTCTAATCCTATCGCATCGAATTATGAGTCCGCTCCCTAACATTCTCCCCCCTGCGACAACGAGTCATCAACAAAACTGCGTAATTGCAGAGGCAGTGGACTTAATTTCGTCACCGGACTTGCCATTGTCTATTTTTATGTTGACTACCCGTACCTTATTATTGCGGCAAGAGTGATCCTCCCTCACTAACACTAAATCTCCAACTAGTAAATTAGACTCCGAAGGTTTTCCATTTTGTAATAAGTTTAGGTAAACTCTCGACCACATTTTCAAAAAATCTTGCCTCAATTTAGAGCAATGCTGCCAATTATTGAAACGATTAAGCGGCAATTCTGATAGGTCTTTTTCCGGGAATGAAGATAGCGTTTGGCCTATTAGGAAATGACAAAATAAATGGACGCCAACGCATTTTGGAGAATGACATTTTTCGATTTTTTGGTCGTAACTGCGCTATTTGTAGAGCTACAATAAACTTAAAATGGGCCAATTATTAGTATAAAATTCTGCATAACTTTGCCCATTTAAGCGACTTTGCATCTCTTACGGTTTACGCCCTTACGGGATCCACATCCATATAGTGAGAATGAACAAAAAAATTCACCCTGTCTACTATTTTTTTCACTACGAGTTTTGAAGTCCTCTAAATTAACAGATTATATTGTCAAGTGAAGGAGGCAGTATACATATGTTGTTCTGCCATTTTTCAGAGTAATTCCGTTTGAATTTTTTCAAAATGTGAGTTCTCATGATAATCAATTTTATGCTCGACTTTATGAGTGAGAAAAGGTTAATAATCATGTCATCATAGGCTATAGTAGTGCAAAAAATGTGCCAAATTCCTGACAGAACAGCTTCCTAGTTCAAACTAAAAACGATTAGACGATAGTGTCTTAAAAAACTAGTAAGTATAGGGAGAGAACGTTTCTCACGAAAATTTATTATTTTCCCATGATTTTTATTTGAAAAAATTAGTTACCCTACACTTTACCCTTAAGGGACAGTTATGTGCAAATATGCATAGCGTCATTAAATGAGCCCCTCCATACGAAGAATATTTTATATAAATCATTTTTTTGATATCCTCTTAGTCTTTAGTTTCCGCAAATAATCGAGGGGTAAGGGGTAAATCACTAGTGGAAATAGGTGTACAGGTACGTGGAAATAAAATGGAAATATGTGGAAATAAAGTGGAAATAAATGGAAATAAATGGAAATAAGTGGAAATAAGTGGAAATAAATGGAAATAAGTGGAAATAAAATGGAAATAAGTGGAAATAAAGATGAAATAGAACGGAAATAAGTGGAAATACAGTAGAAAAATTTCAATTAGCTACAAAAACGATGAATCATACTGAACGAAAAAGTGTTAAGTTTACTTAAGGTACTTTCTATCCCAAACTCTAAAAATGACGAATCAGGTAGATATCCTTCAACGAAAACAATACGTTTTTGTATTGGTAACTCGTAAAACCGCCTCGAAAACCGTCTAGTAGGTATCCTTTTTCAGCACTGTAGGCAGAAGTTGCAGTATTGCACAACGGGTGAATATTTTTAAATTACAGTTGTAAGCGAAGTTATAGTAACGGTTGTACCTCGTGGCTACTAGGCTACAATTATTAATTTTAATAGCATAGTGTGGCGCGAAGTGTCAAAAGCAGTGTGCTTGGTAGTGTGCTCGCGAGTGTGCTCGGTAGTGTGCTTTTGATTTGAAGACGGCAAATCTGAGGACAAATCTATCTTTTTTATGTTTATTATATCACAATCAGAAGAGGGTAAGAACATTTTTTTTCTCCTTAGAACATACATTAACATAATCGTCTTTTAGTTAAAAACCGTCACAGAAAGATTGTGAGCTATTAAATATACCTTTCAACGATTCATGGCAAAGTATTAAATATTTGCATAGCTACCACAGTGATGACAATGAACAACTTGAAGAAGGTGATACAAACAATACCCAACATACTTTTGGGATCGCTAATGAGGATACAGCATGCAACAACAAAACTAACTCTTTCGATGAAGTAGTGAAAAATGGAATAAACGAATTATTAACTGAAGACTCGATTTCTATGGAAGAGAATGAACAACCCGATGATGTTTCTAATGATCTCTTGAAAGGCTTTGGTGATACGTTACAATTAAAGGACTGCGGAAAACGTGATAAGAATTCCTCTTTTATAGATGTAAGAGTTGGCGATAAAGAACTCACTATTCGAAAATCATCGTTATGTTGGCTTCTGACTAATCAATCTTGCAAGATGAGTGCTGATCGGTTAATGAGATTTCGAAACTCTCAAAATTCTCCAGTGGCAAACAGTGATCATCAAAATAAATATGACCCTGTCATAGTCAACGAAAACTATTATGCCGTATATTACTATGACAACTGGTATATTGGACGTGTCTTAGAAGAACCATCCCCCAAAATGTATGTAATTAAGTTTCTTAAAGAATCGTTAGATTCATACGATTGGCCAAAAACAGACGACATTCAGAATGTCAGTGCAGAATATATTTTTTTTGGACCTATCACTATGTACGGTACAAAACCTATGACAATAAGTAAGTTTGATAAACAAAAAATTGTGGTCAAGTACAAGGCTTTGAAGCGCAAAGAATGTAATGATAAATAATATTACAGTTGTAGGTATGTATACCTATTCTATATTACTCGTTAGATTTTAGTTAATTAAGCAATATGTCATACTAATTCCGTTTTATGTATATTAACCTCAATATTAACATTATTAACTAGAACAATGTGCATCTTATTTTCTTATTATTCTTTTGCGTTAAAAATAGTTGTTATGAACCATTTTTTAAGAAATAAAATAAACCTTTTTTCAAATAAAAGGAAATTTATTTAATATGTGGAAATACAGTGGAAATATGTGCAAATAAAATGGAAATAAAGTGGAAATGTATGGAAATAAAGTGGAAATATGTGGAAATAAAGTGGAAATATGTGGAAATAAAGTGGAAATATGTGGAAATATTGTGGAAATATGTGGAAATAAAGTGGAAATATGTGGAAATATTAAGTGTAGTGGAAATAGGTGTACACAAATTACCTGCGTGATTTACCATTGCCTACACTTCAATTGTAATAGTTGTTTATATATAAGACGATAACCGGGATATTTTAACCAGTGAGTGAAAGACGAGATGGTTAGGTTCCCTTTATCGTCATGTACATACAAAACTTTATTTTATAGCAGAAGCCATATAAATCATTGTAAAGCTTCTGACAATTCTGAATTTAATTTAGATGTCAAAAATAGCAAGCTTATAGGGTCTGCCGTTGAGGTCGTTTCGATAGAAACAGCATTGTATTCTGTTCTGAACTCCATTTCATTTCGTTCGCCGCGTCCTATTTGAAATAAGAATGACAGATGTCATTAAAATACATCTGTTTCACTTTATCTACCCTTACGGTTAAAGAGAGATTTACTCAAACCTATTACAATTTCAATTTACTATCTGCTATAAAATAATTAAAATGTAGGTACTATTCTATTCCTCCAGGAAAGTGAGATCATATCTAAACTTTAAAGTTTAGATAATATCACATCTGCTGGGTAGATAACACACATGCGATTTTTTCTTAAAAATGTGGTACCTACATAGAAAAGAGGTTGCCGAAGGCATTTGTTGTTTATATTTGCATTAAAGTTTTTTTCTAAACTATTATACCTACTAGTACATACTACCATTGAATAATAAATCAGATTCTTTATTCAATGTTGTTACTACACTATATACTTATCTGTAATATTATTTTAATTTTTAGATTCGAGTTTCCATCGACGCCGCCACGTTGTCGTCAACACCGCCAAGTAAGTATCAACAATTAAAACTAAATTACATTTCACTGCCATCTCTCGTATTCATATACCTACACTATCTTTTACGTACATATAAATTTACATCTGTAAGCTCCGCACGAAGCTAAACTTTAGGGACGGGGTTACATGATGTGGAGTTAGCGACATCCGGGCGCCATCCCCGAGCCTAGTTTACTAACACGGTGATTTTTCAGTTTTTTCCTATCTTCTTCTACAGTTTGGCTCCGATTGTTGTCAAACTGGTGTCCTCGGAACCACCTTTTGCAAGGCGCGCGTTAAGGTCAGGCGCCCAAAAGTTACATACCTCTGCGAATGTTGTCTTACATAAATCTTCTTCTCCACACGGTTCGATGTTCACAATGTTCCCATCTTTCTGTCCGTCGGTGTCGCCTTTTTTATATATTACGATCTCCTACTAGAACCTTGCGTGTCAATTTCAATATCTTCAACCCTCAAAAACGTACATATTATGTGGTTTTTCAATTTAAAAAAAACATTCTTCCCCGGAACTCTCTCTTGATACGAGAGATCGATGCATCTAATCTAATGAATGCTTGAATAACTTTGAGCGAACAGATCCCTAGTTCCTACCAAGACGGAGAAAGCCGCTGTTCCCAGTTTAATAACTTAAAATAAGAAAGATTGTTATACTGTTCACCGAGACTATAGAGTAGTTACAGGGTGAGTTTTTTTTTTCATTTTCACTATGGGGATCTCGTAAATCGTAAAAGATACAAAGTCGCTTATTGGGTAAAGTTATGCAGAATTGTATGCTGATTGGTTTTCCATTTCACAGTTTCTTATAGCTCTACAGATAGCGAAGTTATAGAAAACTAAAAATTGTCATTTTTAAGAATGAATGATATTACAAAAATAACATGAACAAACCCTTAGAGAATTTTTCTCAACTTTCTGATGGCGCTAAAATAAAATTCGAGATAAAATTGTTATGGCTTGTGGGTGTCGAGTAGGTAAATCATTTATTTTTTATGAGCGCCATATTGGATTTTTATTCGATAGGGTAACAATTACAAAACCAGTGATACTAAACACTTAGTATTTCGTTTCTGAACCAACCTTGATTAGGTATTTGATTTGAATGTTTTTTCTTATGGCAATAATTCCATAGCTTACTGGAAATTATTTAATATTTTTAGTTTATTGTTTCGCATAGTCACCAGCAACACAGCCGTGGCATGATAGATTGCCATAAGAAATATTATAAACTTCAAGATAAAAGTGAGTGACGTAAAAATCCACTATGGCGTCTATAAGAAATCAGACAGTTGATGTGATGTGACTCGAAAAGTCGAAACCCACAAGTCCCACTACCAGTAAGCTGAGCAAAATTATTAAGACTTTGTTAAAATAATTCGAGAAATAATTTTTTGATATCTTTGAAAATAAAATGACATTTTTCGGTTTTTGGCCATAAATTCGCTATTTGTAGAGCTACAAGAAACTTTGAAAGGGGAAATTAATTTGATGTATTCATCGTCGTAGAAACAATTATTAAGTCGATATAATTGGAACTATGGCAAAGTCTACCAATTCGGTTAAACCAATCGGCTAAATAATATACACTTTTTCAAAAATCTTGGCACTAAATCAGGGGAAATTCTGCAACTTTATTTAAAAGATGGGCCGTATGCTAATTTATTGTCGTGTATTGTACCTACTACATGCTAACTTATCTTATTCAAATTGTTAAAGAATTATAGGTTTTTGTAGGAGAGAAATTGATTAATTTGGTGGGTACACCAGTAGGTAAGAATTACATAAAATCGTTAAGATTGAGGTGGTAAAAGTCAAACCGAAGGCGTCGAAGTTGCCTCATTTTGCATGAAATTGAATAATTTTAATTTTAATTGACATTATGTTTGAAATTGAAAACGGACTGGTGAACCACGGGGACACAAAATTAAGTAAAACTTTGAAAAACAATGTTAATGTAAATTACAAATTAAATGAGGTGCATTGTTAAACAATGCGGCCCAATTGAAATAATTACGTAACAAAGTGGAAAGGTACCCCATATTGCATAATACTTCTATAGCTATTTCGCGAATCTCTTAATTTCAGGGGACAACATATTCAGAGGATTATATTTATTTGTTTTTTTTAAATAAAAAAAAAATATTTATGTATCAAGTGTTTTTTTTATTCAAAACCTTGCAATGAGCAAGTTATTAGTATTAAAACCTGGTTTGTTTTACGAAATGGGCGATAACTGTTAATGTGACAATATTAATTCATGACGTACATGAAACAAATCGATGGAGTCTGTAGCCTGCGTCATTGATTTGTGAATCAATTTGAGACAGGTTTTTTTTAACGATTTCGCACACTTGATAGTTGTTACAGTGTTTTCGCGTATGTCTTTTCGATTGACAAATCAATGACGCAGGGCCACAAAATTGAACGTATAGTGACCCTTATTTGGCGGTTTTGGATAAAAATCGTGGTTGTGGTTGCTAAGAAAGAAATGAATGAAAAAACACTGACTTTGGTGTTTGATCCCTCCTGCCACAAAGTTTTTGTTACATATTCCTTTGTTACACCCTGTATAAGAGCTGTTATGGCAGTGAAAAGATACGATTTAGGTTATTAAAACCCCGAAGTACTAAAATTACCATTTGCATTACCAGATTTTATCGAATTACTAAAATTACATTTAGGTAAAGTTCCTTGAGAATTACCAGAATTACTAACGAATTATTATCATAATCGGAAGTAGGTCGAAGGAGGTGTACAAATTTTCTAAAATAAACCACCCTTCGCAAATTTGTTTGATAAAAGTCGATGAAAATGATTTTTTTAGACAAACGATTTTCAAAAATCAACCCCTATTTAGTACTCGGCAGAATGTGTTTTAAACTGAGCAATTAATCAATTTAACGGTAGTTAGTATCCTTTCCGAAAATAAACATTTGTGACATAATCGTTTTAGGATAACAGCAGTTACGAAAAAGTACTATTAATTAAATAATGGGTACCTAATACTTTCACATTTCACAATAACATTTAAAAATATGCGCATCCAAATTATACTTGGACAAATCGATTGCATTAGAAATACCGAATTTTTTAACGTTTACCTACCGTCCACCTTTCTGAAAAGTGAAACTTGTAAAACAGCTTTGTTTGTGCATTAAAAATTGACCTTTAAAGTTGGAGGCAATAAATATGGTGGGCGGCCTTATTTTTTACTTTCCCTTTTAGCTAAAAAGAATCGGCAGGCTTACGGACCCTTTCATTTTCATTTGTAATAGACGATTGAGATAAAAAGTAGTGCAATGCAACATTCTGTAATTAAATGGCAAGTCTGTTGGATGTTAATTGCTACTTTGAAAGCTTGTCAGTCAAGTTTTTTTTGGTATTAAACTCATGTTACCATAAAAATTAATGGTAATCATGCAAAGACAAGGTCGGTCGAAGGATTCTTGTCGGGGTTTTGATGCGTTTAAATTGTTTTCTCAAGGAACTTTTCCAACAGCTGTCGACGTAATTTGTTTATTAATAAAAATTGGTCACAATGTTTACACAAGGTACCGGCGGAAAACTTAAAATTTTTATTGGCATGATTATGTAGCCAGGACTTTTTTTTCAATTTTATACCTAACCGTAAAGGAAACCTTCCAGCTTCAAAAAAAGTTTATTTCTTTACGTAACTACGATATCTATACACTAACATATTTAATCCAGCGTTTCCCATGCCATACAAAAATGCGCTTTTTAGACTCGTTTTGATTATTCATAGACTGATGATATAAGAAATAAAGGAAAGGCCTTTCCTTTATTTCTTATATGATGAGTCCATGAATAATCAAAACGAGTCTAAACAAGTTGTAAATCAGCATATGCATGATTAAAGCGCATTTTTGGTAATACAGGTCAGTATTTTATTAGCGAAGTTTAAAATTATCG